AATGGTACTTTGGCAATTCCACATGAGAGGTGAAAAATCAATCATTTTTAAAAGAAGGATATTGGAATTAATTTCTGTGTCATTAAAGAGAAGACACATCACTGTATTAAAAACATACATGTCATTTCTGTTTTCGCCCTTCTGCACTCCGCAGGGGGTCTACTACTCAATAGGTCATATAAACAAGGAAAACATGGGACCCACAGGTGCAAATTAAGGAACAATTAATTTTGTCAAAATATCAAAATCAATGCAGTCCACTGAAACTGAGGTATAATTAGAGCATAAGCCTTTTTTTCACCCGAGAAAAAAATTTGATGGTTTTCAATAATTTTTCCCCATTTTTGGTTGGTAGAAAATATCTAAGTAGATGAGTAATGTCCGTAACAAAATTTCACTTCTATCTTTGTGTCAGACAGGATTTCACTCTTTAATCAATTGAAAATAACTTGTCCTACTCCTTGGATTTGTTAGTAACATCATTTGTCTGATAAGCTTTTTATTTCTAGTAGGCTTTTTAATCATAGAAACTATTTCAAAGATAGGTAATGTCACTGTAACGTAATGTCCATAACAATACAAGTCTCTAAGGCAAAAATGAAATATACTTAGTATTCTTAAGTGTCTTTATACAAATATCCAAAGGTATTGAACCAAGTGACAGTTAGGGTACCAACTGAGCTCTATAATTTATCCACAATAAGTGAAATAATGCTAAAGCTGAACAAAAGTTTCAGATTTGCATAACAAGAAAGTCAAACAGTGCTGAGTAAGAAAATGTGTTCTTCTTAAAAGACCAAAATTGTTTTATTCACCTAAAAACTGATCAGCCGTGTAGCATCTTAATGAGACTTTCTTTGCTTTTTAATTTCTTTAAACCTTTTTTTCAATGTTTTGCTGTTTTGGAACAGCAAATGGGCCAGCACTGTCTAGGGTGACGGGGCCATAAAACACACAAGAGATGTGAACATCATCCACGTCATCCCGGCTGGGCCAGTCAAAACTCTTTACACCCACTCGATGGAGGAACTTGAATCTTACAAAGCTATCAGCTTGACTGAGTGCATGTCCAATGTAGTAAGTTTCGACATAATCAACAGCATAATACTGCTCAGCTTGTAGGATGCCTTCTGGTGGGATTGGGTGTAGCTTTCTTTGATGCAATTCCAACAGCATGAGTTTCCTGAAAACTGAGATGCTGGTATCACTGATTATCTCACCATAACCAACCCTGCAAGCATCTTGCATACAGGCAAGTGAACACTCCACAGTCATAGGCATTGGTCTCTTCAGGAACATCTCCCTTTTTGTTCACTATAAGCTTCCACAGCTGATTCAGGTCTACATTGCTCTTGATCTCTTTGAGAAGGCCACACATCTTAGAAATAGCATCAAGACTTGTATGTTTAATGTGGTTACTTGGCATACTGTCTAAGACAACAACAGATTTCTCCTTTGGCAGAACTGCTAGAAGAGTCCAGTGCTCAGACTCTGGGGTATTGCATGGCACAAGGACTACATCCTGAAGCAGAAGTGGATTTCTCCCTTTCAACAAGCGATGCACTGGTAGTGAACCAACTGCGCGCTCTCTCAAACAACTCCCATGGCAAGGTTTCAACTGCCAAACTGTTGTTAGCTGCACAAGTCACTTAAATTATATAAGCCTCAGGTATTCATCAATAATAAAGTTGGACAACCATTTATCTTGGCTTTTCTGCCCCCTGCCAAGTAAACCATTAAGATCATCATTTTGAATCATACCACCTCCTTCAAAGCTGATCCAGCCATCAGAAACTGCATTTATTTGGCAGTCTAAATGATGTGGAAGGCTGAACAAAGCACATCCTTTGAATATATCGGTGATAGTAGCTTGTCAGAAAGGCCCTGCTGAACATGGATATCTTTCTTCTCTGACATCTCTTCCTCGTCACTTGAACTTTTATTTGCATTGCTGGCTCTTTCTTTCGCATCTGGACCACCTGAACCTTTGTGTCCAGTCACACCTTCTTCTTCACTCGAGTCAACCTCTTCATCATGACTTTTACTGTCTTCCTTACTGCTCTCACTTGAAACTTCTTTGTACGTGTGATGGCTGTTTCGTGAAGCATTGCTGAAAAAGTCTCCTTTCTCTCCACTGGTCTCGTCTTCATCAGCACTGCTGGTACTGTTGCTTCCCTTTCTTAGAGAGGAAGAGTCTTGATCATCACTATCATTTTGATCCAGATCTTCATTTTCTGAAGCAGAAAACTGGACACCCATTTCAATCCAGGTACTCTGGTAAGAGTATGTACGGCAACGAATAAGGCCATTCCTGAGTGGTTGTAAGCTGTGAAATTTGGCAATACCTGGGATTACTGGTGCAACAGAGAAGAATTTCTTTAATCCAAGTAACTCTGCAGTAGCTTCTAATTCTTTAGATCCAACAAAGGTCACCGCAACAGATGTGCTCAACTTATTTGCAACACTTGCAAAAGAGCAAGCATCTTTGACTGCTTCCACCTTTCTTGTGGATACAGCATTCCAAACCATGCGCTTCACAGTTCCCCCGATACCATCAACAGCCCCTTTCCCGTGTGGACGTGGCGAAGTAGTTCCACTGGATGTTAAGACCTTGACCTTGAAGTAAATGAAGAAAATGGGCAATGTACCTGTTCTTGAACTGCGAGCTTGGTCCATCTGAAAATATCCAAACTCGAGTTATGTTTGGGTGTCTCCCCTTCACAAGGTCGTTGAACACGGCAACAGATGTTTTTGTCATGCTTCAAATCATCTGAAACAATGACGTGAGATTCACAACAGCTGTTTTTGTCCCCAGACTTTGTCCAGATTGCAACAGTGAACAGGGTAACTTGGTCTTGGCTCCAGTGTGCTGACTGAACTTCTCCCTGGTACTTGCAGCTGAAATTTTCAGCAAAATCAACTTGCACCACCGCCTCTTCCTCTCTCAGATGTTCTATCTTCTCTTTGAAAATTCTTGCCTGTTGTCACTTTACAAAAACATGGTCTAAGAATGATGGCAGCTGAACTTCTAGATCTTCCAGTAAATCATCAACAGTACCCTCTTTCAGAACTTTCTGAATTTTCTTTACCCTTTTCATGCTTTTTCGTTTCTTTGCCTGCACCATTTGTTCCACATGCTCCCACTGATACCATGTTGCATGCTCATCAAGGTTTCCTGCACTTGACCTTATTTTTTGCAACAAGCTGGGGCATTTTGCACACTTTTTACATTTGCCAAGCATGCAAAGTTCTAACTCAGGGTTGCAAACAAAATTTTCTGCAAAACTTCCTGAGTACAGTGGAAAATCATCTATTTCTTTATGCAGGCTCTCACAAAGCATTTTGACAAACATCTCTAGGCATGTCAGCAGAAAGCAAGACATTCACTGGCCTTAAGGAGCAAAACTTATTAAGGCCAATCTCAGTGGTGGGGTTTTCTTTCATGAATATGCTATAACATTCCCTTAGGGACCACAACAAGTGCCTTTTCTGGATATGATGTTTTGTGTTGTTTTCCCGAACAGTGACAAAGTCTTTTCTGCCTAGTTAGTGCTTGGTGAGAGATGGAGTCAAGCTGAAAGAAAACTTTAACAAGATTTACCGTCTCTTTTGGAAGACCCCTGTTACTTCTAGTGCACTTCCTTTTGCTAAGAAAACCTGAAGCATGTGCTAGTTTGAAAACCACAGCCTTTCGTTTTCTGGGGCTTTGGGGAAGCACTCTGCTGCTGACCTTACCAAGAGCCTTTCCTAGAGCTTGAGGTGTTTGGTAAGCTTGTGATACATCTTGGTCTTGGGAAGAGTTTTTTGCTTTCTTCTCTTTTTGTCTTTGCATGCATTTTCTGACTCTTTCACGGGTGAGTTTCTTCCTTCTTGCAACTTCACTTGGACTAAGGGCTTGACCTTTTCTTTGCACTCTTTTCCTTTCTTTGTCTTTGTTCTTATAGGCCTTATACCTCTCAACATCTACTTTGAGTCTTGTTCTAAAAGTTCTGGCCCTTTCAGCCCCTGTTTTGACATTTTTTTTAGAAAAGACAACCATCTTGTTTATGTAACTTTCAGAGTACAATGAGATGTCATAATTTGATTAACACTACTGGTCAGTGGTTTTCTTTCAAAGAATGTTCAGAGCATGCTCTGAAAAGGAATGCGCTGACCAGCTATAATTACAAAACAGCTTTTGTGTGCTTTTGAGTTCATTTAATTTTCAAGGCTTCTATACATTGCTGATGGTAAACTTAACACAAAAATAAATGAAATAAGCAATTTTTTAGCATCATAATGCACATAATATAATTTTCAAGAAAAAATTCACTGACAGTAATGTCCGTAACACTTGGTGTAATGTCCATAGCACAACCTTTTAGGGAACCAAAGCAGTTAAGATAGACCTCAGAGAAATTTAATGTGACTGAAGAAACCTTTGAGCATTTGCCAATAAAAAATATGCATTAAATTGCTGTTTTGTATCAACCACATTACACCATAATGACTTGCCTTTTGCACAATAAAAAAATACTCAGAGAACAAATTTTTAGCTCCCTCCGATTTTGACTGAAAGGCCTGTTACAGACATTACAGCTAAAACAACCGTCAATTTTAATCACGACTTTTAAGGCTCAGTTACTGTGATTTATGAAACGTTTGAAGGAAACAAATTATACTGCATATTGTGAACAGGACAGGAGATCAAAGTTAAAAAATGCTCTCTGAGTGTAATGTCCGTAACGGTGGAATTGCCCCTTTACACTCTTACTAAAAGTGAAATACCTGACACATACCTGTTAATGTCAACAATGTCAATTAAATCTTGCTAATCTTCCTCGAAGACAGTACTTCTAATAACTTCAGAAACGTCTTTCCTGTCGGTGTAAACCTGAAATCAAAATGAATAATAACGAAAAGCCCAAATCACGATCTGAAATGAGGTGTTTTAAGTTAAGGGGAAACTGCATGCCTATCTCAGTTTTTTTTATAAGAGCACGTAGTCAGACCTTCCCTTGTGACCTGTGTTTTGTAACTGCCACTTGTTAAATTAAAGTTAAGAATTTTGTTCAAAAAAGCAAAATCAGCTTGACTAGTTTTAACTTAACGTGTCTGGATTTTGCCCCATATCTTAATTCTCATAAAACTGTCCAATGTGTCTTCCAATTAAGTAAAAAAAGACTTGTTTATTTGATTACCTTTAAAAAAAATTGGTAGAACACTTCTGCTGCATAATCAGATAGCTGAGAAAGATCAGCATTGTCCACCTTCTGCCTTTTCTTTCCTCGTTTCCCTTTAGCAACCGACCCACCAACACACTTCTCTGACAGCTCCACATATCTTTCCTCGATTTCACGTAGCCTACCCTGCCAGAATTCCAGTCTTCTTTGAACTTCTTTTCCAGTTTCTAAGGAAAACAGGTTAGGTAGTCACATCACGAAGTGTAAGGGGGTATTCTTTTTAAGGGAGGACTATTATGCAAGAACACAAACCACTGGGTGTGCTTTACATGCTAAGGAACATTCACTCAGTTGGGATGCAGTAATCTGATGCAATAATGATGTACCCTTGATACACAATGGTCACGTCATGGGGTTGTATTAATACTAACAGTGTTAGCTAGGCTATGACAACTTCCAGTGTAGATGGATGTAAATGCAGTCATTAATTCAAACTGTCTGGTTTATCACAGTCAATGGGAAGGAAAGGTTTTAAATAACAGTATAATGATTGTAACATGTACCTGAACCTGTGAGGGTAATAGTCTCCTGCTTTGAACCAAAGTCTCTGGTGAATGTGTCTGGAATAGCCATGTCCTGATAGTACTAGAACAAATTATTACAAATTCATTGAATATTTTAAACATTTTTTTAAACCATTTTTTTCAGTGTATGTTTCTACATAATACACAAAAAATATTATTGTGTGTTGCACTGGTTTAAGTGAAACATTCAAATCATGTGATATCCTGAGCCATACCTTGATTCTATCATTGCAAAAATAATGTGACTTTATTCAGCAGTGCCTCTTTAGCACTTTCTGGATCAGCAAAATATGACTTCAATTTGTCATGAAGCAAGGAGTTCCTGACAATCGTTTCAATGTTTGTGAGGAACTCACTTTCAGTAGAACCTTCAGGAAAAATAGTACAGAAAGAAACAAACAGGATTTAAATTCACAACTTAATGACATCTTCATTACAAACCAGTGTTACAGTTTTCATATTAAGGATCAAGGTATTGTACAAATGAAACTCAAGCAGCTGCTACAGCACAAAAGTAAAAGCCCTGAAGTGGATAAAGGGAATGAAAGCAATCATGATAAAAATGAAACAATATAGAAGGTACCTGAAAATGAAGACACCTGAATGTTGTGCTTTTCAACAGCAGTTTCTTGGCCCTCCTTCATCTTCACTGTTATTCTGCTGCTAAAATTGTCAGGGCCATAATTTGCCAATTCGGCATTACATTCATCAAGTGAACCCACTTTGTACGAAAACAAACCCAATGATGACAACAACTCGTCGGTATTTCTAAGTTCGCAGTGAAGGACGCAGAGGTTAATAGACGATAAATCCTCTTTAAGAAGGAACTCTAAGTCAGCACGGATGCCTTTGAAACTAGAAAAAAGAAGATTCATTATTCTGTTAGTTGTGGGGGATATCTCCCCTGAAGTGGTACTTAACAGTTTTATAGATTTCAAACTCAAGTATTTTACTCGACAGGTTTTCAGTCTTTTATGACAGTGCCCCTACAACATTGACACACCTACAGTAAAGGAAGACTGTGGTATATTATTATGGGAAAATAATATGTGCTCTCTAGGAAAACAAGACAAGGATGATTGCCAACATTTTATAGACTGGGACATTAAACATCATGTTTTTCCAAAAAAAGCTTGTTGCTTCCTTTTCCATGCCGTGGAACTTCCCCTTTTGCAAAAGGCAAGGCTTAATTTACAAAATATTATTGCTAAAATGAGGTCTATATAAAAAGTGAGTCTTTTATAGAAAACATACTTGTTAAGCTATAAATGCTGGGATGAAGGGATTCACTCACTATACCAGGGAATTTAATTTTTTGAATAGAGGTTAACCGTATTGAGATACCCTTAATGTTTTGAATGCCTTTTATAATTAGAAGTTACTGTGAATTCAAAATGACAACTACAAATGCTGAAATTCATGAATAATCAAGGGCTGCATGCCTCAACAAGTATCATCGGAGAATTCTTAGTAAACCAAAATTATAACTAAATTACCCTCCAATATTGGCCTTGGACATGCTAAAGTGTTTCAAACAAACTGTAAGTGGACCAAGATCGCAACATCCCATAAAAATAGCCATTATTCATAGCTAGTTTTTTCTAAGAAATTTTACCCAGCACAACTGAAAATCTAATAGTACTATATTAGTAAGTTGGTCATTGGTAAGGTCAAAACCTGCATAGTAGAATTTGTTGACTCAGAGATTTTGAATATATCCACATACTCTCAATGCTTTGCATATAAAGCAACACTCTACTTCAGTTCCTTGTTTCCCAAGCTGAAAGTTCGCTTTACCTATTTGTTCCAGCAAAAAATAGAGGGTCTTCAGGTCAAGTATAACTGTAGATATAAATTTTAAAAACAGGTCAATATGCATGCAGGCATTTGGATTGAAAATTATGGTACTAAAAAATACCTTATTAATTAT